CACTGGGAGGAGTTGCCGGGATACTGGGATGAGGCGCTGGAGCACCAGAATGAACCATTAGGATACCGGGACGGAGCGCCAGCGTCACTGGACGAAGCACTGGGATACTGGGATGGAGCGCTGGGATACTGGGATGGAGCGCTGGGATACTGGGATGGGGCGCTGGGATACTGGGAAGAGCCCCCAGGGTGCTCCGAAGAACCAGCAGGACACTGGGAGGAGCCCTGGGGAGACCGGGATGGATCCCCAGCGGGATACTGGGATGAACTGGTGGCACACTGGGACGGCTCGGCTCCGTCGGGATACAGGGATGAACCAGGCGGGCACCAGGAGGCCCCAGGGGGATACTGGGATGAACTGGGAGGATGCTGGGATGAAGCAGGGGGATACTGGGATGAACTGGGAGGATGCTGGGATGTTTCCTCAGGGTTCTGGGAGGCTCCGTCAGGATACTGGGAGGATCCAGCGGGACACTGGGAGGCTCCAGCAGGATACTGGGAGGCTCCAGCAGGATACTGGGAGGCTCCAGCAGGATACTGGGAGGATCCAGCAGGATACTGGGAGGATCCAGCAGGATACTGGGAGGCTCCGTCAGGATACTGGGAGGATCCATCAGGATACTGGGAGGATCCAGCAGGATACTGGGAGGCTCCGTCGGGATACTGGGAGGCTCCGTCGGGATACTGGGAGGCTCCAGCGGGATACTGGGAGGATCCAGCGGGATACTGGGAGGCTCCAGCAGGATACTGGGAGGATCCAGCAGGATACTGGGAGGCTCCAGCGGGATGCTGGGAGGCTCCGTCAGGATACTGGGAGGATCCAGCAGGATACTGGGAGGATCCAGCGGGATACTGGGAGGCTCCAGCAGGATACTGGGAGGCTCCAGCAGGATACTGGGAGGCTCCAGCGGGACACTGGGAGGCTCCAGCGGGACACTGGGAGGCTCCGTCGGGATACTGGGAGGCTCCGTCGGGATACTGGGAGGCTCCGTCGGGATACTGGGAGGCTCCAGCGGGATACTGGGAGGCTCC